TAAAAAAAAAAAAAAAAAAAAAAAAAAAAAAAAAAAAAAAAAAAAAATACAAACAAACCCTAAACCCTAAACCCTAAACCCTAACAACAAAACCCTCAAAAATGATGTTGTATGTTGTTGTGTATTTTCTTCATTTATGTTTATTTTTAATTCCTGTTTTTTATCCTTTTTAGGGTTTAAAATAGGGTCCATCCACCCCATTTCAGGGTTTAGGGTTTAGGGTTTAGGGTTTAGGGTTTAGGGTTTAGGGTTTAGGGTTTATTACCTGAATAGTTTCTAGTGCACAAGTAGGTACTTCGCTAATAAGAATTCTTCTTATAGCATTAGCAAGAGAAGCATCACATCCTTTTAGTTCAAATATAACTTTTTCTTCTGTTGCATGCAAAACCCTAATTAGGGTTTGGGACTCAAACACTTTTAGATCAAAGGGTTCCGTCTCAAACCCTACAGATGTACTCTCCCTTGGACCGTCGGGTGTACATTGAACTCTGTGGCTATTTCTTTCGTCGTTATCCATCGCCACAGCCAAAAAAAAAAAGGGTTTAGGGTTTAGGGTTTAGGGTTTAGGGTTTTGGATGATGGGGTTTAAAGCTTCGGGATAACTAGGTAGAATAATATACGGTAAGAATCTTGCCCTTAACCTTTCGTATAGGAAACCCTTCGTACGATTAGGGTTTAGGGTCTAGGGTTTAGGGTTTAGGGCTGGAGGATCGGGTTTAGGGGTTGCAGCAGATCAAACAAAAAGAACCCCACAGAAGAAGAAGGGCAATCCAATGGCTTGGATATGTGAATTAGTGTTTAGGATTGCGGTTTTAGGGTTTAGGGTTTAGGGTTTAGGGTTTAGGGTTTGGAATTCGAGAGAACCAGTTACAGGGAGCGCGGCGCGACTGCCGCGGATTCCCTGAGGTCCATTTAAAGAATAAAAGTAAAAAAAGAAATAAAAAAATAAAAAATAAATAAAAAATTAAAATAAAAAAAGGAAGAAACAAACAAATACACAAAAGATCGCCTTCCTGCTCGATATACTATGACCCCGTGCGGGGCCCCCGGCGGTCAAAACCCTAAACCCTAAACCCTAAACCCTAAACCCTAAACCCTAAAACCCTAAACCCTAAACCCTGATTAAAATCTATTTAATTTTAAGAATTAACATTAATTAATGGCCTTAATTACCCCTATAAGTAACTGTATTTTCTTCCTTTTTCCCTGTTGTGTTGCCTTAGACCGTTGGATCTGTCGATACACCCGAGCTGCCGTCGCATAAAAGAGAAGAAATCAAAGAATTAAAGGAAGAAAAATAATAATAAATATTAAATAAACTAAATATTTATTTAATTTACTTAAATAAATTAAATAAATATTTAATTTATTTAAATAAATAAAAAAGAAAAGAATTTTAATTCCTTTATAGCGTTATTTATGTACAAGAAACAGATATAATAAGCAAGGAAAAAGAACAGAAAAATATATTATTTATATATATGCATGCATTATTTGTATTATTTATTATTTATTTTATTTATTTAATAAATAATTATATTATTATATTTTATCTATACAGAAGAAGGACATTATATAATGCATTATTAATATCCTTTATTTATTATATATAATTATTATTTAATATCCTTTATTTATTTATTTATTATATATAATTGTTATTTATTATATTATATCTAATAAAACATACAAATATACTAATTAAATAAATAATTAAATTAACCTCCCTATACAGCAGAAGTACCCAATAGTAATATTATTATTACTAGTAATAATAATAATAAAATATAACAATAATAATAATAATAAATAAATAAATAAATAAATAAATAAATAGTATAAAAGCAATTATAATTGTTACTAAGGAAAAGAGAAAAAAGGAAATAAAATTAAATTGTATAATAAAGATAAACAAAGAAATACAAAAAAAGAAGAGTATTATAATAAATAAATTAATTTATTAGTAAGAAAAAAGAGACACATATAACTAGTAACAATAATAAATAAAGTAATTAAATAGATAATAATATAATAATTATTATTAATAAATATATTATATTATTAATATTTATTCTTTATTCCTTATTATTATTATTTATTTTTCTTTTTATTTATTAAATAAGGATAAAGAATAATAAGGTTAATAGCAATACTTAATTGAACAAATAACAATTAATAATAAAAATAATTAATATTAATAATAAATAATAATAAATAATAATAAATAATAATAAATAATAATAAATAATAATAATAAAAGGAAACCTTCCTTCCCCTTAACTGGCAAGAAGAAATGCAAGGAAAAAGAATTATTATAATAAATAAAAATAATTTAATTAAATTAAATAATTAAATTAAATAATTAAATTAAATAATTGAATTAAATAATTAAATTAAATAATTAATTTATTATAGGAAGCTAGATAAGGAAGAAGGGGAGGAGGGAGAAAAGAATACAATAAAAAATATATATAAGAAAGAGGGGTAATAATAGGCAATAAAAATATAAATTAAATATCCTTCTCTTTGTTATAATTAATTAATAAATAATTTTAATTCTTTTTTTTAAATAATAAAAAAGAATTAATTAATAAATAAAAATAAAAAGGAAGAAAGGAAGAAAGTTGCTGCTCTCTTTGCCCGCCTGTCCATTCGGGTGTATAGGCAGGTATGCATGGATTCTGCCGGTGATAATTAAAAAGAAGAAAAGAAAAATAAATAAAAATAAATAAAAATAAATAATAAATAAATAATAAATATAAATAAATATTTATTATTGATAAATAAATCATAATTAGTCAGCAAACAACAAAATTAAAGCCCCACCATTTCCTTTGTTTTTCCGTATTTGTTTGTGTGCATGCGTATAATGTTGTATATTATATTATTATAATAAATAAAAATATAAAAAAAATAAAAAGAAATAAATACAATATATATAAATAAATACAAATAAAATATATATCTAAAATATATTAAAAGTATATATGTGTATAGATAAACCATATACACCCTAAACCCTCATAAACCCTAAACCCTAAACCCTAGACCCTAACTAAACCCTAAACCCTCGTAAACCCTGGTGGTGTAAATTGTTTGTGAATAAAAAGTGGTGGGTGGATAGGATGTAGAGGTCAGAGGTGCCTATACACCTGATGGATCCGTGTTCCTTCCTCAAACTACAGCGGTCGCTTTTCCCTGCTCTGTTGCCAGCCTAAGGCGTTCCGCGGCTCATTATCCCTTAAGGATGTAATTAGAGAGACTGTCTCCTTTTTCTCCCCTCCAGGAGACACCCTTAGAGGCTGCAGTTTAGTTAGGGCGGATCGTCGATCTGTTGCATGCATGCATGCATAGATCTCCTTTTACACCTTGTGGTGTATAGGCACCTTTTTTTATTCAATTTCCTCCCTCTCTCCACTCTCCCCACCACCGACTTCTGCTTAGATCACAGCGAGTCGCTACACTCGCCAGTCGAAGGTAACCTTTAATGCGCAACTCGTGCTGGGCGAACGCCCATCACTGCCGTGCAGGTGACCCTGCCACTGCTACTCCTCCAGCTGCTGCTCCAGCTCCATAGGCTGAAGGGAGAGTTGGAGGCTGAAGGAGAGGTACCGTACGGGTTCGAGGTCCGGTAAGGAGGTGTATAAATACTTAATTATAAGAAAAAAACATTGAATATTTTTTTTTTCTCCTTTTTCTTTTTTTTTTATTATAAGAAAATAAACAATATTAATGTAATATATAAACAAATATAAAGAAATATTATTATTTCTTTTATTCTTTTTATTTATTCTTCTTATAATATAATGTATATTATACAATAAATACAAAGAAATACATTTTATTTCTTATTAATGACACTTTTTATTACAAAGAGAGACAAAAAACAATTGTTAATTAAACTATATATATATACATATTATATATAAATATAAATATAAATATAAATATAAATATAAATATAAATAAATAAATAAATAAATAAATAAATAAATAGGATGTCTGTGTCTTTAGCTCTATTCTGTAGGCTAATTCTTTTAGGTACGAATTAATATTTTATTTATTTCTTTGTTTATTTTATCCATTTTTTTTATTTATATATTAATTATATTATAATAGTAAGGCAGATAAGTAATATAATAATAATAATAATATACTAATATGCAAGGAGACAGTAAAAGGGGGAAAAGGGATTAAAAGGATATATATATTTCCTATCTTCTGTCTCTTTGTGTCTCCTGTTTCATTTTTATGTCCTAGGGTTTAGGGTTTAGGGTTTAGGGTTTAGGGTTTAGGGTTTAGGGTTTATATTTCTTAATAATATAAATAAAAGTAAAACTTAGAGAACAAAACCGATTGTCCCCATTAAACACAAAGCCGGCATCCTGCTGCTGCTGCTGCATTTGCAGCTGCTGCAGCAAATGCAGCAGCAACTGCAGCAGCAGGAGTAGGTGTATTATGTGCTGTTCCTGCTGCAGCTGACTGCGTAAGAAGAGCAGCAGCAGCAGCAGCAGGAACAGCAGCAGCAGCAGCAATTTGCTGCTGCCTGTAGACCGCATCCCTACGTGTCTCCATCGGATAAATAAATATATTAGTAGGTGTCTCCTTTGTCTCTTATTATTTTTTATTTATTTATTTATTTATTTATATTTATTTTTATTTATTTATTTATTTATTTATTTATTGCGTCTCTTTAAACGCCTTTATAAAGAAAGAAAAGAAAATAAATATTTAATTGGGGTGTATAGGCAGCTAGTAGCTGCCTATACACCTGAATGCCTCTCCCTCAACACCACAACAATACAAATAGCCAAAGACGTCACCCCTCCACTGCCGTTGCTG